GTGTGTGTGTTCTGTGCTTGAATATACATACATGTAAGTTTGTTTTCTCTAATCAATTTCTGGTTTCGTTTTGTGTATTTCTGTGCTCAGGGTCGGATTGTATATCAGCTACTTTCACACAGGACCCCAGGTGGATATGGTACTGGGTGTTTGCGTCGTCATGTATTTCCTGCTATCTGGAATATTACAGGCATATCAATTTTTCGTCGTCAAAACTATTACGATGCAAACCAACAAAGGTTCCCAAAAGGTGAGGATGTTTTAGATAGTGTTTGAAAGCTTTATTTTTTTGATATGAAGAGAATCCTTGTCTTACTTGCTCGAGGTATCATAGCATACCGATACAATTGCACAAATACTTTACGCCACAATATATGACATGGTATGCTCAGGTGTTTGTGCCTTTGTACTCCCCACAGGTGATAATGCGGTCGTTAATGGAGAAGTCACCGCCTCACCTTTATACATTTTCGATCGAATGGTCGGATGGCACAAAACACCCCAAGCCAGCCAAGTCTACGGTGTCGATTGGTAAATTTATTGACGTGAATGGCTATGTGCATAACCAAAAAATCGAAACTGAGGTGTCTGCCGTACTGGCTGGTTTCAATAAAACCTAGTAGAATGCGCTAAACTTCGGGTATATGGCCTGATTGCAGGTGTTTGGTCGCGCAGATGTATTCCACGATGTCCATACCTCCTGTACAGTGATTTCACGTGGTGTAGACATCCTCGAGCGGCACAGCATTCGTGCAGTGAGGCATCACGAAATGGAATCGGTTGTACGTGACAGACAATTTGATCTTTGGCTTTATTGCCATTTTGCTTGAGGCGTTATCGCACATAGCTGCAATCGGTAGCTTTAAGTCCTGATGCTAACGCCTTGCATTCCAGGTTTGATCCAATTATAATTTCTTTATTGTGGGGGTTCATCTCTTGCAATGTATCTCTCGTCATTGACCACTATCTTTCGCTGTCGAAAAATAATCTACTTCGCTCACCGTTAAGGCTGTGTCCCGAACGGGGCATCGTACTGCTCACTCCCATACAGAACTACACTAGCGCCAACACCAGTGCAACTACCGTCAGGAGCATATCCATGCTCAGCGCTAAGTGACATATCCACAATTACTAGTTGCACCGATTGCCGTTTGGCACGAGCGGCCCAAGACAAGTATTGCAGCTATCATGCTGTGTATGGTGACACCGGTTGTCGTATGTCGTGAGCAAATAGTATAGCAAGCGCATCTATCCCTTGAGTGATGATGATACCATCACCACCCATGAGATTCCCAACGAACCAACATAATCAAACAAATCATCTCTCCTGAGGGGATACCGACTGCGTGTTTAATTTGTTTTTAAGCACGTTTGCCTCCAGGCGCGGCCCTTTAAAGTCGATCCTTTAAAATCTTTGACGCCAAGCGACACCGAGAAAACATAGATGTACATCTAGCACAGTGATAAATTCTAAGATGATACAGCTGTTGGCTTAAGATTGTGATATTTTCATCTGTTACGTCAGTAGGAGAGCGCAAATCTTTCAGTGCCTGCATTGTACGGTTCTTGCCATCGTAGGGTGGGTGCTTACATAATACAAGCATGAATCAACCAACAAAAGTGACGTATTCTTTGCATCAGCGCAACTGAACCGTTTGAAACGTTCAGCACTACAAGCCGCAATCAGGAGCATAGTGGTCTTTTGCTTTATCGCCTTCAGAGAAATACAAAGGTATCAGTGCGTACGAGGGCGCGAACGCAAGGCTTGCAAAGTCCATTGCAAGGACACAATTGTGAAGAACCTTAAAACAAATTAGGTAGTCATAGAGGCCAGAGTGAAAATAGATGGCACCACTGCAAGCTCATTCTTTTACTTGGCCTGAAGAACTTACTCCTTGCCAGTTTTGCCGAAACGGAACACCGCGCGATGCACGAACGTGGTGTGATTTCATAGACTTATTGTGTCCACATGCATATACGCTGAGTATATAACTAGCTATATTATTAGCATTATTGAGAATAGTGATAACGCAAGTTCGCCGCGGCTGCAGCCACGGCCATCTTGATTGTAAAAACAAGTTCGCACCAACTGCATTGCTGCAGCCAGACCTTCTTGAAAGATGGAATCAGGTAAAGCGGGCATATTTATACGCGCCTGTGCCGCTGGCGCATTATATATATATATTAGGCCCATAATTTTCTGGTAAACAGGCTTGGGTAAAATTCGCCAAGCCTGGTCGGGATTGCTTTTTCAGAAAGCGATCCTGAGAAGGTATGAACATTTGTAATGAATTTCACCTCCAATTTATAGAATTCGTGCTTTCGTTCAAATTGTGAGTTTTGCAATTGGGACAGCTGGTAACAAACAAAATCACGAATCGACCAATCGTTTTACAAAGCATGTATGTGATCATTGTGCTGTAGTCTATCTCTATGTTTTAGAATTGCGATGGCTAGAAACTAACGAAATCACGAATCGACCAATCGATTGCCATATCTACTATGCGCCGCACTTGTTATCCATTCACCAATTATATACCATAACTGAGTTTTATGAAATTCATATCTATGCGAACAAACCACTTAATATATGCATAAATATTCAATGTATGCATGAACCTCTACAGGTAAAAAACAAAAATAATACGACTGTCTATTGTCCGTAGAAAATGTATGTATGTATATTCAAAAATTGAGTATACAATACAATTTCAATTACACATGTTCATATGTATGTATGTACGTATGTATGTATGTACGTATGTCTATAACTATGTATGTATGAATAAATATACATATATATGTATGTATAAATGTATGTATGTATGTATATATGTATGGCTGAATGTTTGTATGAATGTATTGATGTATGTATGTATGAAAGTAACTAAGTAACTAAGCAAGCAAGTAAATAAGTAAGTAGGCAAAACACCAGGTATGTACATAAGTATGTATGTCCGTATGTAAGTATGTGTGTATGTAAGTATTCATGCCAGTATATATGTATGTATGTATGTATGTATATCTGTATATATGTAAGTATATATTTATGTATGTATTTATGTACGTATGTATGTATGTATTTTTGTATGGATGCATGTCTATATGAATATATGTTTGTCTGTCTGTTTGTATATTTATATACATATATATATATATATATATGTGTGTAGGTATATAGGTATATCCATATACATGCGTATAGATGTATATGTATTTGTACACACACACACACACATAT